CAGCATCTAAGCTACACTTAGAAAAACACCAATAATTCCAATATCCGGTAAAGGGAAATTACTCGTTATCGGCAATTAAGTCTCAACACCTGGTAAAATCTATACAGCCAAGACACTTTATCGGTCAAAGAAAAAATACGAAAAATAAGAAGCTTAAAACTGTTCAAAATACGAAATCTGAACCAATAATCTGTTCATGAATTTCTCAACGCTTCAGTAAAAAATCCTTTAACTTGTTACTGTTATTGATGTTAAGTATTTTTGTTATAAAAAAAAGTCATTTGATTCAAACAAACAAAATTCAACAATCTTGTTTGTCTGAAAGTTAATAATACTCTTAAAAGTATAGCACAAGGCTAGAAGTATTAGGTACTCAATGAGGATCGGTCACATTATGCTAATAAATGATAAATCAAAATTAGCATGTAATGGTATTTACGAATCTTATCTGAGTACAGCATAGGCCAAATCATGGGACGCCCATTGTAGAGGTGTGTCCAGAATTTGGTGATGAATGGAACTCCAAAATGAAACATTCCATTTTACTAGTAAGGTTTTAGAACAAAAATTAACAATGTTTTTTTAAATCAACACAAATTTAACACAAAACGAATAAATAAATAGAAAAATTTACAAAGAATAAAACAGAAGACATTTTACTTATTAGACGATATGTAAACCATCTCACCGCTCTTTTGAAAATTAAAAATTGAATCTACAATTTAAAACCGATTTGAGCTGGATATTTTATTTTTTGGACATAACGCAATAAATAATTGATGCTACTATAGCGTGAGGTCTACCTTCCATTTCGTCTATAGTGTGAGGTCTACCTTCCGTTTCGTCTATAGCGTGTGGTCTACCTTCCATTTCGTCTATAGTGTGAGGTTTTACCTTCCGTTTCGTCTATAGTGTGAGGTTTTACCTTCCGTTTCGTCTATAGTGTGAGGTTTACCTTCCATTTCGTCTATAGTGTGAGGTTTTACCTTCCGTTTCGTCTATAGCGTGAGGTCTACCTTTCGTTTCGTCTATAGCGTGAGGTTTACCTTCCTTTTCGTCTATAGCGTGATGTTTACCTTCCTTTTCGTCTATAGCATGAGGTTTACCTTCCGTTTCGTCTATAGCGTGAGGTCTACTGCAGCATCGAACTATAATATAATATTGTATGCGTATATATATTTATTTAAACCTTATATTATCGTTTATACATCTATATACTGTTTATATTTATATTAAAGGCCGAGAGGTAAAAATAAACACACTATCAAATACAATACATACATTTATTTTAGCGATAAACACTTCGTATATCTTCTAGGGATTACACGAATAAATCATTAGAATATTTTCTCATCATCTTCCAGCAAAAACGATCAAAACGTGACTGAAACAGCTGACTACCAACACCTCGCATTTGGCTGATGGCCACGTGAGGGGAGAGACACGGTAGACCTCCGCGCTTTACCTGGGTAGACGACATATTTAGGTAGACCTCACGCTATAGTAGCACCAAATAATTTAAATCTTAAATGATAATGCATGACTACACAGAATTATTTGTTTTTATTTATAAAATGTCTTTATTCAGATATTTAAAAATGTCTTTCCCGAGTAGATGTGTGAAACGATTTTCTGGATCCATGCTTGCAATAAGGGTTGAACTCAAGACTAACTTGCTTACCGCTACTCCAAGACGAAATATCCATGAGATATGCATATCCGTATTTCTGTGTGTCCTAGAAAAATTCAAAGCTAAGTATTTTTTTATCGTTACAAACATAAGAAGAAAAATGTCATTACAGACAAAAATGAAGCCGATTCGCTTTTCCGTTAGCCGATCCCGCCTTTACATTCACCATCATCAACATCTACCGGCCAGTTGTTTTCTTCTCTTCCTTTTTTTTTTCTTTCATTATCACCCAAACTTCCCGAGTTTGTCGGAGTGCGAAAGAAAAAAAAATAGTGGCAGATGGCAGGGGTGGGGGTGGAGTAATGGTGATGATAAAACTGTTTATCCGAATCAAATGACAGAAACCGTACAAAGGTGAACGTCATTTGCCTGACTATGGATGTCATTAACATTTTGTACTGTCGAGATGCGAGCCCCAGCCGAGGAACGCAGCCATACAGTCAGCTTTGTTGCTTGCTAATATCCGTATACAATTTTACCCTTACAATTACCGCCGCTAATCTTTGAAGTAATTAGCGCTTTCTACCCTTCCTTTCTATTTGTTTAGCTTCTCTTTGATATCTGTTTATAAAGTTTAGCTTAGTCTGGCACAAGGCATCAAACGTAAGGCACCCAACGTGGAACGAATCATTATTCAGTAGTAATGGTCTAATAGACTAGATCGTTAACCAATACATTTATGAATTATCTATTAAGCGTTTTTTATGCCACTTTCCTTTAAAATGTAGGTGATAATGGCTCTTCACGGATCCCTTTTCTTTATTATCTGTAAATTGCAATAACTTCTTTGAGAAAGATTCGAATGTTTTTCTGCTGCCATCAAAATGTTGAATTCAGATTTGCCCTTTCCGGAGACTGGCTTCCAATCAAGGCTTCAGAACATATACCCTTCTGTTTAACACATAGAAATGGATCCCTACGTCTCCGGGGAGTATTAGTGTGAAAGTGAATGCATATGAATAGGCTGGAACTTGAACTCGGCTTGCTAATTACACTTTTTCTCGCCAGGACCGTTACGCTACCTGCACACCTTAGATTAGTAAAGTTCAAACACAACGAATGATGGAAGAAGATTGTAGCGTGCTTATTTGCCTACCTTGAAAATCAGCACTCGAAATCTGTTCTTCTTATTTGAGCTTGAAATCCGATCTGCAGCACTAGTGGAAAATATGTTACCAAAATGCAGACGTTACTCTTGTTTATAGAATAATGTTCATTCAAAGCTGAGAATTCATTAACAATTAAAACTCATCGTCAAACTGCTGCCTCTTGATGTACGTAGATATTTATTGAATAGGTGCATAATTATCAGGTGTTTTTGTAGGCGAGTTATTTGTTAATAAAAATTACAGTTTTGTTTGTTTTTTTAATAAAAATATTATTTTATTTTCAGATTATAAAAATCCGTGTCGATAATCATACGCTCCAGAATAATCATTTAAAAATGTTATTGTTGAATTGTTATGCTTCTTTTTCCATAATAAATATTGTTTAAAAAACGCCTGATAATTATACACCAACCCAATATAACAGGCAGATTAATCCAGAAGATGGTTATATTGAAATAATTAAGTACTAAGATTATGTTGGGCCAGTCGGCTTAAAAAAATTAAATCATGTTTTTTTTAACTTCGTCTCAAATACCAACATTTCAGCAAACCCTGGGATTTACCTAATCTACTACAACAAATGAGATGCGGGGTTGGATTAACGATTAATAACATTAAAAATGAAATCGGCGAACCTAGTTCAAATTATGGCCTAACAATTTTGTGTTAACTTCTCTTTAACATCCTTGATAAAGACAAGAATCTCTCCCAGTACATCAGGTTACAGTGTATTCCCTGCCGAGGATACTATGTAACCCAGTATAACCTGTCTCGTGTTAGGATAATTATTTACACTATTTATATTGTTCAGACTATTGTCCACATTTTTGTTGTCATATTTACGACGTTTCGGCCGTTGTACGCTCCGACCTTCTTCAGGTTATTGGAATTTCGAAATAAACCCTATATTTCGTCCACCCGGGTAGATTGTTCTACTTCCATGTGCCATGCCTCTTCCAGATGTCTCAGTATCAGTTATCTCCCTTTAACTCAACTATCCAAGTTTTTTTTTACCTCAGCTCTATCCAGGTATTGAACTCACAACACTTTGGGTCAAGTCACTGGATTCATCCAACGCTTTTATCCACTGGGCCATGCGTTCTTGTGTCCAAAATTCCAATCACGTAAATAAGGCCGGAAATGTCGAAATATGGCAACAAAGATGAGGACAACAGTCCGAACAATGTAAATAGTCTAAATAATTAAAATACCTCATCTCAGAAATATAGACAGATACTCGTGTAAGGGTATATGAACTGCTAACCCCCTTGCGCTCCCAAAATAACATAAAGCACCCAATTTGGGAACCCGACTATTTATCAGGCTATGGGATAATCTGATTTCGAATCTGGAGCCCAGTGGGAATCAAATTCAATTATAAAGTAGTAATTAACTGTTAGACTAATGAGCTAATTATTACTTTATAACAAAGCGTCCACATTTAGGAGCTGAGCATTGTCTGAATGGACCTCAATAAGAACCCCACCTCCTATTTAGGTGAGATTAGCTTGTTAACCATAGCTCTACACCAAAAGTCGATGATTTAATAAACTTATAAAAAATATTGCTTTCCAAATATTGATTCCTGGCAAACTTTTGAAGTTTCAATTCATATTTTATTTGGCATTTTTTAAAGATTATTACAATACCAGGCTGTATGGATGGTCGCGGATTTGTGGGTAGTGTAACGGATATCATCGCTGAAGGTGAACTCGGCGAACCGAGTTCAAATTAGAGACATTCAATTTCGCACAAATGCTCTTGGAAAAACTTGAATCTGTCTGCTCTCCCCTCTCCAACGGCTAATAGATAAATAACAAGACAGACTGAGTTTTATAGCCTTGAGCGACAACCAGTCTAGGAGTAGGGAAAATTCTAAATTCAAACCCAGCTTGAAGAGAGATAGGCTCCGTCAGGTGATCTTGCCCTAGACACAAACTCGCTGTTGCTATGGCTGCAATAGATATGGTGCACCTCCGACCCTAGCGGTTTAAGGAACTTGTATACGCGACAGTACCAGGCGAAAATGAGGATTTAATTGGTGGGATAACAGGTTTTATTAATCTCCCAAATAGGAGATATCAGTATTCGAAATCGAAAGATTTACTTTGTTTCAAATATTGATCATTGACACACCAGGGTATTTACTAAGCTCTTCTTCGTGCGATAAAAGACAACTATACTTACAATATCTGACTTTCCTAGTTAACAGTTAAGTAGGTGGTAAGGCTCGATGTTGCTGTAGACTGTGATAGATAGATAGATAGATAGATAGATAGATAGATAGATAGATAGATAATATACTGAGATCGATAGATGGATGGATAATGAATAGATAGATAGATAGATAGATAGATAGATAGATAGATAGATAGGTACAAACATACATACATAGGTAGATAATGAATAGACTGGGATATATATATATATATATATATATATATAGAGAGAGAGAGAGAGAGAGAGAGATAGATAGATAGATAGATAGATAATATACTGAGATCGATAGATAGATAGATAGATAGATAGATAGATAGATAGATAGATAGATAATGAATAGATTGAGGTAGATAGATAGATAATGAATATACTGAGATTGATAGATGCATGGATAATGAGTAGATAGATAGATAGATAGATAGATAGATAGATAGATAGATGTTGAAACTTGACTAATGCATGGAATAATAATGCAACACAAAATGTACTTAGAACAAAATGTATTGAAACAAGAAAGTGGAAACAATATTTACATATAGTCTTTTGTATATTCCTGGGAAGACTGTTCCTGGAGAATGTGTTGACTTAGTCGCAGTCGGGCAGAGTCTCTGGATTGAATCTCTTGATTCCTCCCCTCTCTTCCCGGTACCAACCATATTTATATGGTCGGTACTCCACTATGCAAATTAGGTGGATCCTACCACAACAATAGATAATGAATAGACTGAGATTGATAGATGGATGGATAATGTATAGATAGATAGATAGATAGATAGATAGATAGATAGATAGATTAAAATAATATTAATAAGGAATTCTATGTATCTCATTGTGCTCATAACCATCTACTCATCTATCTCTATTATCTATTTGCCTATCTGCCTTCTTATATATATATATATATATATATATATATATATATATATATATATATATATATATATGCACAACATCAGCACGGGCCTTGCTAACATTTTAACAAGTGGTAGCCATAGATTTAACTTGTCAACAATGACTCTACTCGTCTAACGAGTCGACAGCCATCCTGTATGTATTTACCAGGCTAGCGCCTCTGGTACTTCCACATAGCATGTTGATTTGATCAGGATGGAGGACGATAGGATCCCTAGGCTGTCTCTTTACGTTGAGTTGATGAGAGCAGCGCACAAACCGAAAATGAGTTTTAAAGTTTCCATCAAGAGCTCACGCCATGCAAAATGAGTGGGAAAACCTGCCTTTGGATTGTTCATCCTGGAAGAAAGCAGTGTGCACAATTTATAAACAGGATTGTGTTGAGCGGGAGAAAGTAAAGAGGGATGTTCGTAAGAGTGCTAAGAATGTTGGCGCAGTGTACAGGCGCCAGCAAAGAGGCACCCAATGTTGCCACATCTGGCCAAAAGAATGTAAGACCCTAGCAGAACTAAAAAGGCACATCGTCGTTGCTCATATTTGAGATCAGATAGATAGATAGATAGATAGATAGATAGATAGATAGATAGATATTTTGCAACCTAGGAAAGGCTACTAAATAGAATAATCAAACCAAAGTTGATAATGTATGATAATAGGACAAGAACAACACATAAGATTCGCCAGTGGCGCGTAGAAGTAGTCAACTGCTAGAAGTGAGTCAAGTAAATCCCACAATGAATCCCCAACTGCAGACCAACATACAGTATTTACTACTGTATTGATGTGAATGGGGACATTTTTACAATATACTATTTTATATTTTATATTTAACTATATATATTTATATATATATATATATATATATATATATATATATATATATATATATATTCTTGATTGTATGTAGATGCGTGGTCAAGTGGTTAGAACTTTCGTCTTAATACCCGTGTTCGAATCTCACTATGGGCGATTTTTCAAGGAGATGGCTGCCTAAGTTTATCTGTCTTGGGAGGTGTGCCCAGCATTCGCCAGTTTTGGAAAATGTCTGTAAACCATACGGCAGGTGGACAGTCGTTCAAAATTCGTTTATGCTTGTACTAGCCCGAAGTCACAAGTCATTGTGATCGAAGGTTTTATGTCTAACTGCCTTATTTTCAAACTTCTGATCAGGCTAAATGCTGAGCTCTCCCTAGAAGCTATTACTAAAGTTTGATCAACATAGTTGAAGTGTAAAACGCAGGTTGACTCCGTGGCTGTTAAGGAAACACAAATGGGTCTGAGCAGGCGTCAGCAACAGGAATTGGTTAGCTGCCCTATTAAGAAAAGAGTAGCCGACAATTATGGTATATCTCAATGTGCTCACATCGATTTATGTATATCAGACGGTTTATATCTGTCTCTGTTCATTATACCTTAATCTTTTCCTATCAAGTACATCTATCTATCTATCTATCTATCTATCTATCTATCTATCTATCTATCTATCTATCTATCTATCTATTTCAATCTGTTCATTATCTATCTATCTATCTATCTAACTAACTTCTTTATCATTTTATCTGTTTATATATTTCATTGTGCCCATATCTGTCTCTGTCTATTAATTTCTACCTATCTATCTATCTATCTATATATATATTATGGTATATTCATATCTACCGATTTGCCCATTCAAACCTATATATTCACGTGTATCTATCTATCTATCTATCTATCTATCTATCTATCTATCTATCTGTCTGCCTCAGTCTGTTTATATCTATCTCAAACTGTTCATATCTATCGCAGTCTGTTTATATCTATCTATCTATCTATCTATCTATCTATCTATCTATATATCCCAATATTTATCTATATATCTCAATCTGTTCATATCTATGTCTGTTTAATCATGTTATCGATTTACTTATTGGCATCTATCTATCCATCTATTTATCTATCTTTTTTGCTGTCAGCCTGTCTTTATTCATTATCTTTTTACATATCTGTCTGCCAGTCTATTTGCCTGTCCATATATTTCCTTATAATCTTTATATCTATCTATCTATCTATTTGTCTGTCTATCTCACTCTTTTCATATTTATCTACTGCGTTGAGTCTTTCCATAGTTATCTATCTATGTACTCAAGTGTATTCATAATATATATATATATATATATATATATATATATATATATATATATATATATATATATTTATTTATCTAGCTATCTATCAAATTTTTCCTCTCTATTTTTGAACTGACTTTTCCTCTCGTTCATTTTTTACCCATTCGTATTTTCCTTTTCCCTATCGCTTTTTGATCTTGATATTCTTTGACGATCAACTTTGTTGCCATGACAACTAAGATCCGCCATTTATCTGTCAGGTGAATCGTCCAAATGCTGTGTAGCAAGAAAGGAAATAGATGAAAAAAGAAAGAAAAGGAAATATCCAACCGCAAAATCGGCGTAATTTTAAGCCCGCCTTTCAACTTTCAGCTGTTCACTTACAGTCTCGTTTGTGACGATCATGGCGGTCAGCGGTACTTTGTTTTGTTATGTGACGGCTTCTTTTATCGTTGGCCATTGACAATCAACTTTTTCTTACTGGGGACGAGTTGCTATGTTGCCCGTACTGTCCAATGACGTCCCTTATTTTTGTGAACTTGAAGCTTAGTTTTATGAATGTTTTTTCAAAGGTAAACATAATAAAAGAGATCTTTTTTTCATTTTCAAAGGTTGCCTGGTTTTTTCATCGAGAAGAAATTCATAGATTTCAAATTATTCATTGCAGAACTATTAAAATGAATTTATTGGTTGCCACAGATGATTTTATTTCATAGGTTTTTGAATATATTCTGAATTCAAAAAAATTTAAAGTCATAGGAGAAAATGACAAAGTATAATATAAAAGATAAGATCAAAATTTGAATAAATATTTTTTAACATTTTAAAGCCAGTTAAAAATGATCACACTGATTTTTGGCTAGTTGTTGGGGTAGATAAGTCATAAGATATGGTAAGTTAAACAAGACATGAGAAAAATGTATTTCGGCTATTCTTCCACAGAATAAAGACCCCACTGATCCCAGGTAAAAATAGCCACAAAAAATAAAGTCACAGCAAAAAAGTCGCAGGAAAAAATCACAGATAAAAATAATATTAATTTTGGCAGATTCAAAATTATTATGGAAACTGACACTGAAATAATTTGGTACGTTTTCTACGGTGCCATAGCACTGTACACTACTAAGGATATTATTATTATTATTATTATTATTTATAAATAAAAATAAAATATAAAATGATGATAATAATAATGAAAATTATATATAAAATAAAGCAATAACATAAAAAACGTTGTATAAAATAAATTAAATAAAAATACTCCTAGCATGCAACAAAATTTGTTCCTGCTGGAAATACGGATATCCCACCAAAACACGTTAAATTCATTCTCTTCTCCACGAACCTTGGCACGGGCAACACGCGTCCGACTTCTTTCTATGATATGGCTTATAATAATAGGGAATAACTCCTCCCTTTTATCACATGTAGCATAAAACAATTGTAACCTAAAAATACACACTCCAATACACACAAAAAATATAAATAAATTTTATAAAATTAACATACAATTTACCATGCTTTCCTGTTGTTTGTGTACGTTTTATTTCTTGTCAAGTATGCTTTTATCTCCGTGAACACAAGTCTAATTTCTACTGCTATGATGTGAGTGAATACGCACACACTGTTTCACATGAGGTTCTCATAAACTTAGTCACACGGACAAATTACTGGAAATGTAGGCATGTAAACTACTGTGCGGTAATTATCTAAATGAAGTAGGAATTATCCACCTTGAAAATATGACTTCAAAATCCTGGTCCTTTTTTCTCCGGGATGAGCAATTAACCAATGAAATAAACAAAAAACACATTACTATCTCAACTATGAATTCCGGCGTCCAGTTTTATGTGCATTCAATGGGCAAACATTATTTTTATTTTAAATTTCAAGAAAATAACGCCAGTCTGTAAATGTTCACTTGTAAGCTCGAAGGAAACAAGTGGCACATTATGATGTTAGCTTACAAGTAGAGAATCTCGTTGGTGCCATTTGTTAACCTTTACTCTAACCTTGGGTGACAACTAGTCTAGAATCAAACGCGGGTAAAAGTTGGAAATGGGGCGAGCATACAATATACTTTATGTTTTGTGCACATGAAGCATGAGGGCGATCATGAATCTCCACAACACTCTGAACCGGCTCAAAACTGGTCATAGTCAAAGCAGGATAGATTAATGAGGTACAAAGGAAATGAATAAATAAACGTTTCGTTTAGTGAAGTACAAAGGAAATGAATCAATAAAAGTTTCGCTTAGAGAAGAACAAAGAAAATGAATAAATACAAGGTTCTCTTAGAGAGGTGCAATGGGAAGGAATAAATAAGAACCTAGAGAGGTATATTGGAAAGGAATAAATACAAGGTTCTCCTCGCGTGACGAATAGGAAAGTAATAAATAAAATGTTCGTTTAATGCGGTACAAAATAAATGAATAAAAACGATTCACTTAGAGAGGTACAAAGGAAATGAATTAATGAAAAGTCTGCTTAGTGAGGTACAAAAGAAATGAATAAATGAAAGGTTCGCTTACTGAGGTACAAAGGACATGAATAAATAAATAGTTCGTGTTGGTCGTGTGGTACCGTGGGACAATATGTCTAAGGAATGTCCTGGCAAAAACACGGCACCACCAACTGAGCAACGGTCGGTAGCTAAAAAGCCAACAGTTCAAAAGCCAGCAGTCAAACAACAGGCAGCAGTGAAGGAAGCTGTGGGTCAGGCCCTTAATGAGGTCAGTGAGTGGCAGCAGGTGACCAAGCAGGGACGCAAGGCAGCAACCCCTCCTCCCAACAGGTTGTCTCATCGGGGCGAAAACAACAGAGCCCGAAGAAGCTTTGCCGTCTATTCAGCGTACGGGAACCCACTGGTCAGAGGGGTCGCTTTGCTGGTGAAGCCTACCCTGGACGGGAGGATGGACCTTGTCCATGCGGATGCCGATGGCCGGTTGATCGTGGCCGATATTTCTGGGAAAAGTTGGTCGTTTCGGATCGTACGGTTTATGCGGCCAACGACGGGGAGAAGCGCGTTGCTTTTTTTTTCGGCGGTTTGGTCCGTTCCTGGTGGATTCAACGCGCCTAGTCTTAATGGGGGAGTGTAATGCCGTCCCGAACCCCAAACTAAACAGGGGGCGTAGAGCTAGCGAGAATTCGTAGCCTGGTTGATTTGATTGGCGAGTTTGGTCTCGACGATAGATACCGGGTCGATCACCCTAAGGAAGAAATGTGGAAGTGGGCACATAAATGGCCTTCTACCTGGGTGGCTAGCTACCTAGATAGAATGTTAGTCAGAAGGGCCGACGTAGATCTGTTAGATTGTCCAACGTTTCACTGGTTAGCCTACTCAGACCACTAGCGTAGTGCAGCGGGAACTATTGGGGCGCTTATCGGAAATAGGTGGTGGGAGAAGCTTAAGGATAGGAATAGGTCCTTCACCACCGAGTTTAGCAAACGGCTCGCACTAGAAAAGTTTAACAAGGTGATGGCTCAAGGATAGTCTGTCCCGGGCGGAGGATGGGGGGTCCCCTAAGAGATAGCCATAGCTAGGGAGGACCTGGAGCGTTCGGCTAGCAAGCGCTACACGGGTCAGGTAATCAGACATAAGTTTAGCAAGATGTCTTCCGAAGACGTGAAGCAGAATTGCGCAAGGAACAGATTCGTCGATGTTCTGATCGCTACATTCGCGTGGTCAAGACCCCGGAGGGTGTACTCTGAGGTCGTCTGACGAGGTGTGTGAGGCGTTTCGGTGAGATTTCGAGAGCCGCTTTACCAGAGAGCCTAGTCACCGCGACGAGGAGTTTTGTACCTATTTGGCTGACTTTCCTCGGCTTTCGCCAACTGAAGCGGCTAGCTGCGAGTAAGGCGTCACGGAGCGTGACGTCTACGCGTCATTGAAGAAGGTCAGCAGAGGCAAGTCGCCGGGTCTTGATGGTTTGCCCTATGAATTCTACTTGAGGCTGTCGTACTTGTCCCAATTTTGACTATCGTCTTTAAAAACTGGTTCCGCCAGGAGTCCGTCCCCGACCCCACCTCCAGGAGTCTGATCCGCTGTTGGGAAAAGGCAAGTATTTTGGGGGGATTAGATGCAGGAGGTTGTCCGTGAAGGGCAAGGTGGAGGCGTGTGCCACTTACGTCTTTCCTCTTGTCCTTTAGCGCTTGTCTGTACTCCTCTATAAGGACATAAGAAGCGATCGAGCGCTTGCTATCCTCCGTTTTGGGGGGCGTAAGCATAAGTTTGACAGAGGTGTTGTGCCCAACGTCCGTGCCATTGGGAGGCTGTGAATGCCGCACCAGGCGAGTCACAAGCTCGCCTCGAGGCTGGCTTTTCCTACGTCGTGCACTGACCGAAGATTCTATTCTAGCGGGGATCGCGAGGGACGCGTTCCCTTTCCTCACTATTCCTTCCCCCCACCCATCTCGCGGACAGAGCGCCATCGTAAGCCCCGGGATGAATCGGATTTCATTTGCGGTCATTCCTCAGTCCAGTGACCTTTCTCGGCCTAGGTGAGTCTTCTATCGTGAACTAGTGGAGGGGGCCGCGAAGGATCCACTACGTGAGCGGCTCGAAATGTCGAAGGGGGAATTTCGCACCTTATCGCCTTCGACGCCAGCGGCGGATTACCTCAGCAACCGTGAATATAAAAGGACAGACTCGCAACTGGGGAAAATTACACCGAGAGGTGCCCAGCCTTGAGGAACAACTGCTCAAGGCCTTGCCCTCTCATTGCACTAGAGAAAAGGATCGGTGCTCGAGGCCAGTGCAATCGATGGTTGCTGGGACTCGAGAAATTTATGTTCCTAGCCCGGGTGTACGCTCTCGGGTTCCCCATATTAAACCGACCTTGTGTGACAAAGCGACTGCGTGGGTGTCGATTAAATACCAAATTAGTCTAAAGTAGTTTGTAACATGTTTCTTTATCATCTCTCAGTTGTGTCTCTGTTTTTGGGTAGATTGCGCTCAGGAGTGACTCCGTCGAAGGACAGTGTTGAGGAAAATTATACAGAGCAATGCCGGCCCTGGGGAACAGCTGCCGGT